CCGAAGCCCACTCAAAGTCCGCGTCTTCGATTTTTGTTTCTCTCTCACGAGATTGCCACGTCAACTCTTAAAAAGGACGTAAATGACGACTTAGCCCATTCACATTTTTCAATATTCCAATCATATCCTTCCTATACGGCACAAACGACTGTCGTTTCGTCTCTTCACTTTCCCTTCCCCTTTCTTCCTCCTTCGACGACGCCGTTTTCTCTTCTTCTTCTCTTTGATCGGAGATCGTCTCCTCGTCGGTCTTCTTAACCGGCGCCGGAAACACAAGCTTCTCGTTTCCACCTTCGCTACTACTTCTCGCGTATAGAATATTCCGTAGCTTCCACCGTTTAGAGAATCCAGCGGAATTGCTTTTGATTTTGCTTTGCGACGGAGAAGACGATAGTCCTTGAAGATCGTCGTCACTCGATTTTTTAGGTTTCCACACACAGTAAGTCTCCGGCGGAACTCCGGTAAGATCCTCTTCAGCTTCCGACGTCGAATTCGAAGTCGGATCTCGATCCTCGCTCATCAGTATTCTCAACGCCGGTCGATGACGACGAGGCTGCTGCGTCGGTTTAGATTCTCCGGGAGCGTTTCCGATTCCACCACCGTAAGGATTCAACGGACGGATCTGACCGTTACAGAAAATCTCGTCGGCGGTAGCGATTGGGTGAGAATATCTGCGGCTGGGACAGTCGAAAGCGAACTCGAATTCGTCGTCGTCGTCGCGGTGTGGATCGGATTGTGGCTCTTGTTCTCGGAATTCTTCGACGACTCGTGCGGCGATTGCGGCGAGGTCTACGGCGGTGGAGAAACTTCCGAAACTCGGTGAGTTTGAAGAAAAGGAGAGTAACCGACTTTTCTGCATTTTAGACAGTTGTTGCAGAGTTTTCTCAAAAAAAAAAAACGTTAGAGATAGAGAAATGGTACGCTTCGAATATTGGGTCCCTTCGAATATATATATACAGAGAAAAAAAACAAATTTAAATAATTACATTAAGAAGATTAATTGTTATTTAATCAAAAGCCAAAAAATCTTACAAGGAGCGTAATAAACAGTAACCACTAACGCTTTAAGATTTTTTTTTTTTTAGTCTCCACTTTTGTGACAAAAAGAGATAATAAGATAAGTCTCCACATTTTTTAAAGACGGTATTGGTCAAGAAATTATATCTTCTAGTATTTGGAAAAATATAAAATGACAAAAGAAAATGTTACTACTTATCTTCTTCGATGTCACGTTTAATCACACCATCAAATCACGAGGTGATAATACTTATCTAGTTAGTTATTTTTTGAGTATTCAAATGTTAATGATGTCAAAAAAACGACGTATGCAAATGCTGGTCAGGATTAAAAGACAAATGTAATAGTATTATTACTATTAGTAGTTGATTGATTCAATGCATTAATGAAAGATGAACATCGTGAATTGTGATATGTCAAGGGAATAAATCTAGTGTCCTAGATTCCAAAACATGGGTTCAATAACATCTTTTTTAAACTTATAAAAACTGTTTGATTGTTGTGACATTTCATTCTTCTTCTTATATGGATTTTTAATAATTGTCTAATTAAATGTAGTCATTCTTAAAATAAAATAGGATGTCTCTCGTATATTTTCTCTATATTCGTATAAAAGATTGATGTTCAAGACCTTAGATTTTAATCGAATATTTTTTGTAAAATTTGTAAATTACACAAATTAGTATACAGTATAATTTTATTTAAGTATTTCTTCTTTTTTTTGTCAACAGATATGGAACATACTATCGATAATGATAATTCGATTGATGTGAATGCAACACATTAATACAGTGTTTAGGTGACCACTAAGTTTTTTGTCTGGCTTCAGTGACGACTATAATTATGATAAATCAGAACTTAAGAGAATAAAGTCCATCATAATTTAAGTTGGGCCTTCTCGTATGGGCTCGATATAAATGGGCCTCACCGATTAAATAATCACTCTTCTTTTTTTTCCGCTTAATCAGATCAAAGTTAAGTACAGTTCGAAGTTTTCAGATTCTCAGAAACACTAGTTTTCTTCTCTTCCCCAACTTTCCATCAATTTCACCACATAAACCCTAATTTTAGATTTTAGGGTTCATCGGAATACTCTTGCGAGTCTTCAATCTCCTACTTCACTAAATTTCATTCACAATGGATAACAATTTCGAGAACTATCATCATCATCATCAATGGCGTCCAGGACCAGCACAGCCCAACATATGCCCGATTTGTTCAGCACCGCACTTCCCTTTCTGCTCACCGTATCCTCCGTCTTCCTTTTCGCACAACCCTAACTTCCTTCCTGCTCACCTCAACTCACCTCGTCCTGGATTCGATTCGTTCACCGGACCACCGATTAGACCGCAAAATCACTATCCGATCGGTGATCCAAGACCATGGCAAGCTCACCACGGAAATCAATGGCGACCGGTTTCTGACTATCGTAGTGGCGTTGATTGTGACAGGGAAGTTGATCGGAGCTATAAGAGAGCTCGGATTGATGCGATCGGTGGTGGTTCTCCTGGCTATGGTGTTTCTGGGACTGATGGTTATCACAGTCCTCGGATCCCGTGGGAGAATGAGCGGAGGTTGAAGATGGTTCACGATCATGGTTACGGTTTAACTGCTCCACCTCCTGGAAATCAAGATGGTTATAATCTGGAGATGAATCATCAGTATGGGAGGAACAAATTTAGGAATGGAGGTCAATTTAATGGCGTAGCTCCTCCGCCTCATCATCCACCGCTCCCGGCGGCGGCGTACGGAGGCTATTACGGAGGTCCTAATGGTCAGCCTCCTCTTCCGGTCTCCCCACCACCGCCTTTGCCTCCATCTCATCCTTCTTCCCTGTTTCCTAATTCGTCTGCAACGGTCCCTCCATCATCATCATATCCTCAAATGCCAAATGCTTCTGTAATGTTGCTTTCGTGACTTCGTTTCTTACCTAGAAATATCTTCTTCTTTTTTTTCCTGTACTGATGATTTCTTATTGTTTGGTAGCCATCTTCTGCACAATTAGCACCAACTCGGTCTAAAGTGATTGATGTGTCTCATTTGCTGAAGCCTCCTCATCGATCAACTCGTCCTGATCAATTTGTAATTATCCTTCGAGGACTACCAGGTTGTTTTCCCAAGCCTTCTCTTTACTTTTTGCGTGGACTTGTTGCATGATTTCAGTTCTTAGCCTAGGTTCTTAGTTTCCCTTGTGTAGGAAACACTTTTAAAATACTCAATCGTTCTTCTTAGTCTGTGCAAGCTGATAAATAATATAATGTTAACTTGTTTTTGCATTTGAATGAGTTAGAAAGGGGTTTGTAAGTGTAGGTGTTACTAAGTAGTAAGTAATCCCATTTGTATATATCAGGTAGTGGGAAGAGTTATTTAGCCAAGTTGCTGCGTGACATCGAAGTAGAAAATGGTGGTAGTGCTCCAAGAATTCATTCTATGGATGATTATTTCATGACTGAAGTTGAAAAGGTTAGTCAATCGTCATGATTCTAAAAATATTCTTAAAAGAACTGACTTTTTATTTGGAGATCATCATGGGATTCTAAGATTATGTTGCTTTGTCAATTTGAAAGGTTGATGAGAGTGATTTAAGCTCTGGCAGTGGCAGAAGCAAGAGACCTGTCGTGAAAAAGGTCATGGAATACTGCTACGAACCTGATATGGAAGAGGTATCTTTTCAGCACGTATATTTTTGACATAAATGAAACATGAATATAAATCACGATAATATTTTTCTTTTGTTAACTTTTCTTGCCGCTCTTGAATTCTCAGGCGTATCGTTCAAGCATGCTGAAAGCTTTTAAGAGGACTCTTGAAGACGGGGCTTTCAGCTTTGTAATCGGTAATGATTTTTCCCGTAACTGCATACTAGAATGTATGAGTATATATCAATTTTGAATTTTTTATTTCCTTGCAAAAGGTAATTCTGTGATCTGATGACATTATCTCTTTTGGTTTGATGATGTTGACATGATGGCTGCTACTTTTCTTTTTGAGAAAACATTTCATCTGTATGTGTTTTTTAGTTTCTTAGTTTAAAGAACTCCCAGCAGTCCTCTTTTCTGCTCAAGGTATAGGGAGTAGTATATATATCAACGTGTAAGATCTTCATTTAGGGATCCTATTTATCTAGTTTAGCTGGGAACTGGGTGGTGCAGTGTCCACGCACTACTTTCATTTTCTCTAACCACGGATGCAGTTTGTTTTCTGGAATTGACCGTTTCTTGCTGGTATATGTCGCTCATCTTAGTGGATGACCGCAATCTGCGGGTGCCTGATTTTGCTCAGTTTTGGGCAACAGCAAAGGTATATCCTCACTTCTTTCTGTATTACCTTGTGGAGATTGGATGTTGTTTGCGGATTCTATAGAAGACTCATAATGATTTGTGAAGTCAACTAGCTTCTTAAGTACTTAGTTATCCTTGGTTTCTCAGGTGTCTAGATCATGTGCACTAAACGTTAGTCTAGTCTAAATTTTCTTACAAAATGTTTTCTAGTAAGTTGACTTTCTGTCAATGTTTTAGTTATCTGAAACCTTCTTAGAATTAGCATAACACTCCCTCAAAGTTTAAAGTGACCTTGCATTTCCCTAGATACAAGATTACAAGTGTTCTTTTTTTTTCTCCAAATTTTTTACTGTATATTGTTTGCGATCTTACTTCCTTTATAGCTGAAACCAAGGAAGTTATGTCTATTT